GTCACTGAGGCCAGCTTTTTTTTCCTCTCCTCAAGCTGATACTTTGACGCTTTGTCTGCCCGGTGTGGAATAATCTATCCCCATCACAGAGGAAACTTATTTAGTGGGAGTTCTGCAGTGTTTTAATCACATTTCCTGGTGCTTTCTGAAACTGCTAACTGGATAAAACGCGCATAGATGAGTATGATGAATAGAAAAAAAAGGAATGCTCAATCATCTATTTCACATTCACCCGACAGGAAAAACATGTGACCGAGTCAGGAAGTGTCCAGGAGATAAATCTCCTCAATATGACGTGGAGGCCCAACCTTTCTCAGGAATGATCTGTAGGGCATAAACTAATAGAAACTACAATTAAATCTGTGACAAGAAGCCGGTGTCATTGTGTTTGGCTCATTTGAAGGTAATCTGTTTTAAAAGGTTGGGCACTTCAGTTTCACCCAGAATGACCACTTTCTGAAACACGTTTTCAACCTTTTCGCTGGAAGCTGTGGTCAGATGCAGTCAGAAGATTAAAATGATGGATTCTGGTCCTTCAGTGCTGGTGTGGCTGCATTTCCTGACATTATAACAATAAAAATGATGAAGAGGAAAATCTTAATCACTCCTCACATAATGACTGCATTTAACTTCTTCCAGCATTTCCCTCTTAAAGAAAGTACTGTGTTTCCATTGCAATTTGAGTGACTCAGAAGCCAGTATATAATTATGCAAAGCGTCGCTACATCAAAGTAAATTGGGGTCTTTGCTATGGCATGTTTTGGAGACGTCCTACCTGTGGTTTGGCACTTATATAGTGTCTATATTTGAGGTGTGAAATATGGACAAAGAGTCTATCTATAATGCTGCTGGCATTGTGAAGCACATAGTGTGCTGTTTTTTTCTGTTTTGTTTTTTTTTACTAGGAAAGAAACCTCTTCAGCCATTTGCCACAGAAATGCCGCATAAGCGCTTTCGTCAATAGCAGAAGTCTGACGGGAACCAACAGGACCTGTGTAAGACTCCCCTTTTAGCCTCTTCTCTCACACATAGGTGTGCTCTGGCTTTCAGCTATAGGAAATGTGGAAGCCCGTAAACGTTTGGCCGGGAGGGGCTCAGATGGCTCCTCTCCCTTTTGCGACGTGGCCGGTGACCTTTGACCTGCCTTTTTATAGGCGGGCTGCCAGCTTAATGCAAACTTGGCAGAGTCGCCACCTTTCCCACTCATTAAGCTCAGTCATTTTCCAGCCTAAAACACATCGCTGACCTATTTTCACCATCAAGGAATGGATATGAGGCGTTTTACGCCCGTCTGGACACAGAACAAATTCACTAAATGGATGTAGGAAAATCTGATGAATAAAAAAGATTAAAGCAGGTGAAGGAATTTTTTTAAAAAGACTTGTAAGATGATGTCATAATACGACAAAGTGTCAAGTTAGACCAGTTGTGTTATCGCAAAAGTAAGGGGCCGTGCAGGTAAAACCAAACGTGAAATAAAATGAATGGAAAGATAAACTGGACGGGCGCTCGGTATCTCTTCTACCCGTCTTTCTCGCTACCTCCACGTGCGGAAGGCTTGGACCCGTCACACAGTGACTCAGGCTGCTCTCCATTTGAAAAATTAAACGGAAGAGAGAGAGAGAGAGAGAGAAAGAGAGAGAGAGAGAAGGGGGGGAGAGATGGAGGGGGTGTTTGGCAGAGTTAAATGAGGCCCTGAGATGAAAAAAAAAAAAAAAAAAGAAACATGCTGAGCTCAGCAGAGCTTCTACAATCTCAATCACAGAGGAGGAGGTTGGTCCGCTGATGTAATGGCTGCCGTCGTGCTGCCGCTGCCTTGGCAGAGAAGAAGAACTCGTCAGCACAGTCCCACTAATTCACCCCCCCTCCCCTCCTCCCTCCCACCCCCCGGCCCGGATCAAGGGTACGTCAGATAGCAGGGTATTGGACGGAGAAGATGAGGTGGTTTGTGGACATTTCTCTGACTGCAGAGAGAGGCTTTTAGAACGTGTCAAAAAGAAAAAATACTGCGAAAAAAAGCCTCCCCCGGCCAACAAATTTCTGTTCCCAGAACAGTCCAGGAACGCTGATTTATGGTTGTGGGAATGCTTCCCAAAGTTTGTTTGGGTTGTGGCGTGGTTCACCGGGAAAACTGTCTCTGGTGTGGATGCACAATGAGCTCTTAGTTGTGGTTTGGATCCCCTAAAGTTCTCTCCTCAAATATATTGATGCTTTTGGGCTCCGATTGGCAAAGCATTCCTATTTAAGTGCATCAGTGTAATTCCAGAATTCCAGAATAATCCACCCATTTTAATCATCTTCAATAGTGCCACACCAAGAATTGATAGGAAGGTCCAAACCCACAAACTGGTTCTTGGAGCATTCTCTAGACATTCTATCCACAAATATCAAAACACAACCAACTGGGAATATTATGTTCTGTGAACATTCCTAAATATACCAGGAACATTCTGTTGCTGCGTAGTCATGCAGGAATTTTCTATCAATTTTAGTTTTTGAAACGTCTCCATCTAATCTTAGCAGAGCGAACAAAGATTCCATCAGTTTGGAATAATAACTCCAATTATCAAAGATCACAGGTTTAACTCACCTTCACACCTGCTGTGCACAGTGAGAATTCCAATTTTGGTTCCAAAATAACTGTATGTTTTGAAGAATTATTATAAAGAAATAGACGGCGGAAGCATTCAAATAGAAAAAGGCTTTTTTTTATTTGTACAAAAAAATGACCTTTTATTCATCTTAAATCAAACAATATAATAATTTTGTCCCTGCCAACAAAAATGTATAAATGTTTATATGTCTATATTTTTCTTGATTAAGGCTTTTTTCAAAAGGACTTTAAGAAATAGAATTCAATTGTTCAACAGGAATTCAGTAATGTGAATAGATTTCTCCAAAAAGGCCTCATCTATAGGCCAAGACACATCACGATGTTATTTATGGAACAGGGCAAGAAAAAGAGACATCATGTAAAAATTTAAAGAAAATAAACAGATACATCTGCATTATATCTTCAGTAAAATGATAAATTACTGTAAGACAATTCCAAGGTGTTTTTCTTTAAGGAAATTATCAGTCGGCTTTTCTTAGGGTGTCAAGTTGTTATTTCTGTTCATAGGATTAACGGGTAAAAGACTTTTGTTTCAACAATTAAAGGAGTGTGGCTTAATGTTTTCTACATCTGTAAGTCAGTGAGAATTAATGAAGAAATCGCTGACTCTGTGAAGCTGTGACACATCACACAAAATGTCGGCCTAATACAGCTCCTACATAAATCCAGTCTTGCTATTCAGTTCAAGGATTAAGTGCGATTCCAGTTTGGCTCCAAGAAAAATACACTGGATTAAAGAACTGAATTCAACAAAAAAGCGACATGTCAATGGTTGGCATTTCTTTATTTTTGGTTTATTTTGTGTTCAGTTAATTTGACAATAAAAACACATAAACACAGGCAACCAGACAGTTTGTACAGCATCCATCCCATACATTTTTCTTTTCTATATAATATGCTTTTTCAGGGGAAATCACAGTGTCATTGCCTTGAGAAAGAAACCTAAGTGAATCTGAGAGCACGATCAGACATCTGAAGCTGACAAATGCTGCATTCTCCAGGTCATCTTGTTCTTCTCTCCACCGGTCTTTACTGTCAAAGCTGTTAGAGACTCGTGTTCTTTTGTCGGTTTCCTCAAATTGGTGAAAATGTGCTCCGTGATTTCTTCTGAGTTGCTGCTGCCACCCAGTGTTTATGCAAAACTCCTGCGGCTGTGTGGTCAGTGCTGACACACACACAAAACCAGCCCTCAAACGTATGCAAGTTGTCACCTGGATCCTTTTTGGACACGGAAAGGTTAATGACTAAAGACAATCTTTTTATGGATGCATTTATTTAAACAAATACATATTTATGCACAAAAATACATACAGTGTCCTTGCTCACTGATTTTCCAATCTTGTTACTCTCTCTCACGAATGCCTATATTTTAATTTTCTATATTGTGTTTTTATTTAGATTGCTTTTTTGTTTGCATTGTGCAGCTTTAGAGCACTCCAATCACTTCAGTTGTCAGGGGCATTTTTGTGCATGTGGCAGTTAAAAATAGGAGCAGATTTAATTCACTAATATGAAATCAATGTGGATGAAAAACGACTTTATTTACCATGTTTTTAGTACAATAAAAGATAATGTAATATGGTAATGTAATGTGTCAAGTTGTGTTAACTGTTATGTGTTAGCAATTTTCCTGTATGCAAACTGAAAAAAATAGTTTAAATTGTCTTTTCTCTGATACAAGCTTCAAGTAAAACCCTTGAAATGTGATTTAAAGAATTGGTTCTTGGTTTAATTGTTCATCTTAACAGTATTGGTTTGTTTCTTTGTTTTGTTTTTTTGCTTCAGTTGTTCATCAGTCAAATTGTGTTTGTGACTTAATATATGAATACAGAAGCGTAAAATCAGCCATTACCTTAGGAAAACATTTAATGATCTTTTTGAAAATTATTAATAAAAAAACTGGAGAACTATTACCCCAAAGCAGTGCAAAATATTATTTTATTATTATTTATTTATTTATTTATTTATTTATTTATTTATTTATTTATTTATTTATTTATTTATTTATTTATTTATTTATTTATTTATTTATTTATTTATTATTTAAACAACACATTTCCCAAAAGTTATATTCTTACTTTTTTACATAATGGCAGAATACAATTTAAATCTTAAACGATTTGTAGAGATTGACACATAATATTTTTACTAATCAGTCAATTAATTAATAGCCTTCTCCTTACCTTACTTAAAATGTACTATGTTATATAATAAAACTTTAGATTTACTCAGATGTTCAGCCACGGAATTGCTTCAAATGTTGTGTTTGTGATATAATTTACTCTGGTTAAGATAGTTGTTGAAATCTATTTGGTTCGATAAGCGTTCTCTTTTTCTTTCTTCTAAAACACGTAGACTTATACATACTGTCACTCAGTCAAGCTCGGCTTTTATCGGGGCTCTGTTGCTCTCCCCTGACGTCACGTACGTCCAGGAAAATAAATCGAGTTTCCCAGCGCAGGCGGAGGAGACAACACACTTATTAAAGCAGGAATGGTAAGTTTGAATGATATGTAATATATAAACGTCTGATCACCACTCTACAACATTTCAGCAAAGAATAACAATCAACACTGCCTGTTTAATAGAATTTCTTTGGCAAACCAGAATACAGACTCCATTTAGGGACACCAAGCTAACGCTAGCTGGCTCAGTTTTGTCTGCCCTGTGAGTAAGCAAAACAGCTTTAACTGCTAATATTAGCTTGGATATGGCACCAAAAGGATAAACGCATTGTACGGATTGTCTTGATCTTTACCTATCAAGTTGAATAATGGTTTAGCCTTCTCTAATATAAATAAACGACCGAATTTTTCTTTTTAACAGGCTAAACTGTTGGGCTAGTGCTAAAGACATAGCTTAAGTTAGCCACATTTGGATGGGTTAGCATCGCTGAGAGTAGCTTTGGTGTCGTCTCTACTTTCGTTTTCGTTAAGTTCACCGGCTTTTGGGGATATACGTTTTTTTTCTCGATGCAACCAACAGTAATTGCAGACAATATGATAACTACAGGGGTTTTCCTTCTGTCTGTATTTTTTCCATCTAAGTTTAAAAAGAAATTAGGTAACAAGTCGCACGAGCCCTGCGCCTTTTGGCTAACGCAGTGCTTTAGCTAGGACTGAAGTTTAATAAGGGGCTGAACGGAAACGGCGTCGTTATAAATTATTCAAAAGTTGCCACTGAAACCCTGTTCAGAAAAGTCCCTGCTGTACACAAGGACTTGTTGTAAGTTGTGGTGGACTGTGTGGTGAGGCAGCGGCTGATAATGCAGGGAGACTATGTATGACAGCTGTCCGGCATCATTCCCCCGTTTCCTTCCTACCAAATCGTGATTGTGTCTTGTTTGTGTCCGTAGTTTCGTAACCAGTACGACAACGACGTGACGGTGTGGAGCCCGCAGGTAAGCTGCCGGTCACCTGAGCTCCGGCCGGCCTGAGCTCACCTCAGCCACCTCTCATTCCGGGGACTAACCCTAACCCTAACCCTGTTTTCCTCCCCAGGGCCGCATTCATCAGATCGAGTATGCGATGGAGGCGGTCAAACAGGGATCCGCCACCGTGGGCCTCAAGTCCAGATCGCACGCGGTGCTGGTTGCACTAAAGGTACTGCCGGACCATTGTTGTATTTCAGTTCCTCTGTGGGGAACTTCTGGCCCCTGGGTTTTGGCTGTTGGTGCCTTCATATGGAGGACTGAGCCTGACCAAACTAAGATGAAAAAGCAGAATATGTAACTATCTCAAATCTGTTTGCTAACAGGTAACTGATAAAGTGCAACAACATTTTAAACATTTCTGTAAAAATCCTGAAAAAATAAGATCAAACATTAATGTGATAGAGTATTTAAAAAGACAGTTTATAAATACAATATAATGATAAATAATAATGAATACAAATTACTGAGATAAATATTTTGCAAATTACTTTATCGAAAGATTCTGAAAGAGAGCTGATAGAATAAAATACATGCGTCAAAATCAATCCCTTGAAATATAACGCATGTGGGAAAGCAAGTTAATTGTTTGTTTTTTCTTTTAGTTTATTGATACAGTCATATCTTTAGTATAGTATTTATAGTCAGTATTGCTCCTTCCTTTATGTGTAGGCCAATATTAGAAAATATTAGAAAACAAGACCCCTTACCTGCTTTCTGTGGCAACGTCCAGGTCTCCAGGACTGTAGGTGTGTCTGGTTTCTCCACTCATTAATATTTCAGCAGGGATGGCTCCAGTCAGGAGGGAGCTGTCCCAGCTGCTGGTTGGGGATCCCCCCCCCTGTGGCTGTATGAGGCTTAACGGGGGTCAGAGTTCTGACGCCGGCCCGCTGTGAACCACCTTTTGTTTTGTTTTCCCTCAGAGAGCCCAGTCGGAACTGGCCGCCCACCAAAAGAAGATCCTTCACGTGGACAACCACGTTGGCATCTCCATCGCTGGACTGACCGCTGACGCAAGGCTGCTCTGGTATGTTTCTGTCATGATAAACAGAACTCTCCAGATTTTTACATCCCTTCGAACACAGGATGAGTCGGAGTTGTATAACTAACTGACGCAGCTAGTGGGGCATTCATTTTGGTTTTTGGTATGCCGTATAGAAAAGTTGTACATATATTTTGGGTGTTAATATAAACTAGCCTGTGCCATTGCCATAAATCTGACCTGTGATTGGATTGTTTTTCCCTTCCTCAGTAACTTCATGCGTCAGGAGTGCTTGGACTCGAGATTCGTCTTCGACAGGCCGCTTCCCACATCGCGACTGGTCTCCCTTGTTGGCAGCAGTATCCTCTTTACTTCTTAGGTCATCACCTCATCCCAGGCTCTTTTGTGGCACTTTTTCCACCAGTGCCTACTCGGCACAGCACAGTTCCACGCAGTGTTTTTGCTTTTCTCAATGAATAGTTGTAGTTTGATGCTAAATCTGGGGGCCTACACTCTGGTCTAAGGTCTTAGACCTGTTCAGCCTCATAATCCATCATGGAAAACCACCCAAACCGAGTTGTGTGGGGCAGAGTGGGTACAGGTGGGAGAGCTCTGCTGGGCAGCACAGCCCACAGTTCGAACACGGCCTTGAATAGAGACCCGGATCCTTGACTGAAACCGCAGAAACCCAAATCCCCACACAGCGGTACGGGCGGAGGCCCTACGGCGTGGGGCTCCTCATCGCTGGCTACGACGTAAGGCCTCATACAGCCACGTTTTGTTATTTAACCACAGAAGAAGAGTGTCAGAATGCATCTGTTGTGCTCCCGCAGGATATGGGACCCCACATCTTCCAGACCTGCCCCTCGGCAAACTACTTTGACTGCAAAGCCATGTCCATCGGAGCGCGCTCCCAGTCTGCCCGCACCTACCTGGAGAGGTGCATGGAGAAGTTCCTGGACTGTGAGTCCCCCCTTTCCATCCTCCTCTGGCTTCATTCCCACGCAGGGCAGAGAACACCAGTGCTATTCAGATTAGCTTAAAGTCCCATCTTATGTAGCGATTAGCAAAGAAAAAACCCACCCGCAGGTTTCTTATAGATTTCCCTTACGGGGGTGTTTTCTGTTGCCAGGCAACCTGAACGACCTGGTTCAGCATGGCCTCCGAGCCCTGAGAGAAACCCTCCCAGCCGAGCAGGACCTGACCACCAAGGTAGCCCTGACCTCTGACCTCTGACCGGAGGCTGGACCGGATAGCGACGCTTTCCGTGTCAGTCCGGTCTGCATGACTAATCCTTCTTTTGTTCCCGTTAACCACACATCTCGCCCTTCCAGAACGTGTCCATCGGCATCGTGGGGAAGGAGATGGAGTTCACCATTTATGACGACGACGACGTGGCTTCCTTCCTGGAGGGCCTGGAGGAGAGGCCCCAGAGGAAGGTGGGTTCAGGTCTAAGTAAAGAAGCCAGATCTCTGAACCCCCGTGTGTCTGAACCCCCGTGTGTCTGAACCCCCGTGTGTTTGTGCTCAGGTGGCCCCCCCGGCGGACGAGCCCGCTGCGGCTGTCGCCGAGGGACCGGACGAGCCCATGGAGCACTGACCGGAGACCTGCGTCCCGTCCACCCTCAGACCAACCTGACACGTAGCCCCCCCACCCCCCACCCAGAGGAGGGTTCGTCTGATGTGCCACTCGATAAATTGTTAACCCCAAAATAGTTTCTGCTAACGCAAGCCCATGTGATGTTGCTTTTGTATGGGCCGACTTTATTCAAACAATAAACAAATCCTTTTTTGAATTGGGCTTCTGCTCTTTTTTTTTTTTTTTTTTTTTTTGTACAACGATCGTTTTTTATTTTATCAATAAAACTTAAATCCAAGCGGACTGGAAAAAATGCATTTAATTTAATCACAGTTTTTGGGTAGGTCCTACATTTCCTCAGGCGTTTAACAAAGATAAGAAAAGCTGAGCTGAACCAGCAGGCTGATCCCAAACTGCAAAGTTTCTGCCGCATTTCTGGTTCAGTGCATTTAAAAAAAAATCTCCATCATAGAATATTTACCGGAACTGGAAGCACTTCATATGAATTAAGGGGTTACGTTATTAAGGGGGGATCGTTTCCATTTTACTGGCGCTTTAAAACAACACGTAGGAGCTGGTGTTACAGAGCCTTCCTCAGTCGTTTCAAGTGAAGATAAAGGAGGCTGGAGATCCAGTTTCAGGCTAAAGCGAGCAGCTTTAAGACCGAATCCTCCTCTGTGAGGCGGGCCCAGGTCCCAGCGTCTGTTTCGGGCTCAGCGCGCGGCCTTCTTTGCCCCCCTCCTCCTGCCCCTCCTCCTGACCGGTCCAGATGAGGCCTCTGGTCCGGCCGGCTGCCCGGGCTCCCCCGGCTCCTGCTCCAGCACGCCCCTGACCGTCAGCGTGAGCTCCAGGTCCTCTGGGGCGGCGGGGGGGTCCTCCGGAGGGCCCGGGCGGGCTGGGCTGCCCTGGTCCTGGTTTCCCTGGCTCCCTTCGTCCCCCCCCTCCTCTGGACCGTGCTGGCACTGGCACTGGGGGCGTTCCCAGTACGGCTCAGGCTCCTCCGGATAATCTGCGGAAGGTTGGAGAAAAGAAGCGGACGCTAACTTTTTTGTTTAGCTTTTTTGAAATCCACCACAAGCATTCAGACCCCCCCCCATACCTTCCCAGTCTTCCGGCAGCCTGGGCTCCGGGGGGACCCCCTCCACCAGCTGACCCTCCTGCATGACCCGCGTTATCTCGGTCAGCTGCTGCAGAAGGCTCTCCTCCTGGTCAGCCGTCACCCCCCTCACCCTGCACACAGCCACCGTTTACATCCTTCATACCTAAAGGGTGCCATTCTAAAGGTCCACGGTGTAGGAATCCCTCCATCTAAGGGGGAAACTGTATTCTGCATCCTGACAAATCTGCTCTCTAGAGCCTCCATTTTCAAATGGGTGTTGCAGCTACACTAGCCGTCAGGCATCAAGAAGTAACGACAAGACTTCCACATCATGGAGTTTTCTCTGGTGATAAGGTTTGTGATTTAAAAGAACTGAATAACTGCACTGAATCATTAGTGTTAGCATGGAACTCCTCCTCCAACCACATAGCTGCTTTCAGTCAGGTGACACTTTCTCACTTTTGAGTGTTCCTGTACGCATCCAAAAACAGGGGTTTGTTCATTTTCATTTGACAAATAAGAAATACATTAGTTCTACTTACAGTGCACGTATTTGGTTTTGTTCATTTTGTTTAGTAATTAGTTATTTAAGTTAAGTCTTAAGCTAACTGTTTAGCATTTTTGTTAAATTTGTGTAGCAGTTCCCCTTGCTCGTCCTCAGTGTGTCAGTCTGGTCTGGTCAGCCAGTATTTAAGTCCTCTTTTTTGTTGTGTGTCAGGTCAGTTTGTTTGTTTTGGAGCAGTTAGTTTAAGGTTTCGTTGTGTTAAACCTCCAGTTTTTTGTCAGTTTCTTCATTTGACCTCCTCTAAGGGTAATTGTTGTTTGGAATTTTGTACATCTGGGGAAATAACACTCATTTTTCCTGTGTCCTGGGTGCTACAGGCCCACCTGTCAGGACTGTGGTGGGCATTGGAAACGATGTCCTCCATCACCAGCTCCGTCTCCCTCAGCCTGTCGTGCAGCTGCGCCAGCTCGAAGTCGGCTGGAGGAGGACGGGAAAAAAAAGGCCGGAAAGTTTAAAGAGTGCGGATAGTTTTCGGGGCAGAACGTAAAAAATATATATTTTTTTTTAAACTGTGAGTGTCGAGGATGATGTTGAAAATGGAAACCGGGCGGTTATTGTGTTCCCCCCCCCGACGGCGGCCATGCATCACGCCCCCGTGATGCTTTATCGGAATCGATATGCAGGGAAACTTCCAACTCTCATTTAATTCTCATTACTTTAATGCAGCACATGATGAATGCACGTGTCAGCCGTGGAGAGGCGGGCGTGACTTATTAAAGCAGAAATGACATGCAGAGAGCTCCTCTTCATTTCTGGGAAAAACGCTCTGGCTGCTCCCTTTTTCCTGAAAACTGGAGCGGAACTGCATTCTGCACCACAAATGTTTGACGGCTGTATGGTTGTACTTTAAAAGAGCTCACTTACTTTGCTTTACATCTGTTTAGCTTGTGCTTTTATTACAAAAAGACATAAAAATGGGGAAACAGCGAGGAGTTGTGGATACTCACTGATCTTTCTCTTCATGTTCTCCGACCGGACCGGGGTAAAGCGGCCTTCTGCCGGCTTGCTGTTGCCCTTAGATGTGATCTAACAGCAGGATTAAAACAATGTATCCATCAAAACATGTGACGGATGTGACAAAATGCAATTATAGTCAGGCTTTTTTTTTATTGCAAATATTTCCATTTAAATGATAAGGAGTGACAGATCGGTACCTTGAAGAGTATGTAGAGGATGTAGAGTAAGATCCCAAAGCCGTACACGGGGATTATCTGCCCCGCCAGGTTGGATTTGCCCCCGGTTCCCGCCCCGGTTCCCGCTCCTTTAGCCCTGGCGGCGGGCTCAGAGTTGTGGGCCCTGGAGAAGCCGGCGGCGGCCGCCCGCTGACCCCGGCCCTCAGGGGCCACCCGGCGGTGGACCAGCGGTGGGAAATGACCTGAACCTAGACGGAGGAAGAACACGGCTGAAGAGGATAAATCTGGGACTCCAAGTAATAGTAATGGATGGAATATTCTCCTGTGTTCTTCCATTCAAAAGGGCATTTAGATTAGTTGTTTGGACTGTTGATTTTACAAAGTACTCATCTGACTTGTCAGCTGTTTCTGCCGTCAGATTTGACATTTTATATCAGTTGATATAGGTTATATTTGTCTGGAAATGTTTCTCTTTCGGTTTATAGTTTTCACCTGCCCTTCTTTTGCATATCTCTTTAAAAAACAATGAAAATTAAGTCATTTTAAATAGCATGATTTAAAAAACGTCCATGTTATATGTCTAAAATAATGTAGGTGCCATAGACTTACTAATAAGTCTTAAGTTATTAATAAGTTAATATTAAGTTAATATTATCTAATAATGAGTCAATAAGTTAATAATAAGTTCACTAATAAGTTAATATTATCCGATCATCCTTACGGACTGAAAAAGGTCATGTTTAGCGGGTGTTTTGGCGCCCCCGTCAGGGAGGAAAGTGCAACTACACGGAGTCGTCAATGATGCCCAATATAAATTAGCTGTGGTCTGAAATGTATAGAAGTTAAACACCACGCAAACACTTGAAAGACGTCTATGTTGGAGGTACTATGTGATGTTTAGAAAGTTACCAGGTCGAGTTAACCCGAGCGCTAAAGGGAAGCAGGAATGGTGACCCACCGTCCGGCCGCTCCGCAGCATCCCTGCTGCCCCTGGACAGCAGCATCCGGGGCAGCAGCAGCGCCACGCACAGCACGAGACACGTCGCGAGCGTCACCTTCTGAAACGTCGAAAACGCCATGCCGCTAGTCTTCCGACAAGAAAGATGCGATATCTAAAAGCCACCCATGAGAAAAAGAGAAGGCTCGGGTTTCGGGGGACACTTCCTCGTTGACTCGGGCAGCGGAAGTGCACCGGTGCTGCAGTACCACGTTACACCGCCGGGGGGCGCCAAACAGCGGTGTTTAAACAAATCTTTTATGTATCAAAAATCCTAAATCGTTTCCCCTTATTCCACAAACAAATACATGGACCAAGTCAGATAGACGTTCACCAATCATTTCACCAGGAGAATCCAAGTTTAAATTACAAATTGAACACCAATTGGTTTCCAGAAACCACAAACAACCCTCCAAAATTTCCCCACATGCTTTTCCAAAGAATTTTTAAAATAGAGCCACGTGTCCACCTTCCATTGCTCATGTAATGTAAAGTTTCTCCCATCATATTTTGCCTAAAAACACATGAACAAATTGGCTTTGTAAAGCTGTTCCTTACCCCGAAGAGCCAATTGGATTCCCAGGAGTCTCTGTGTGAGAAGATAACACCACATTTGTCTTCCAGAACTCCCCTTATTCTTTTGGGCCGGGCAGTGACTCAGGAGGTGGTCAAGGGACTGTGCGGTCCCTGCCATGGAGAGCTATATTTATTTGGCCTGTGAAAGTCCTCCTGGGCCTGATTTTGACATCCACATTTGTGGCAGTACGCGAGTGATTTGTTAGAAACAGATTTTTCCATATTTTGTCTGGCCTGTTATCAGGAATCATGACTTCCAAATATCTTTTCTGCTGTGGGAGTTGTAAATATTTAGTTCACTCAGACCTACTGAACCTTTGTTTTAACTTCCTGTAATGGCAGGACCTTCTCCCCCCGGCTCAGGAGGGAATCCAGATTTCTGCCCTGCTGACCTCCCACTCTACTCTCCCACCCCTCCCTCCAGTCAACAGGTATGGCTTCTTCTATTTTTCTAGCTAAGGCCTTTAAGTTGGACCCTCTGTATTGTGTATTGCGTTGGTTTAAGACATTTGTTATATTGGTCGAGTCCACCTTTCCTTCTCAGTTGAGGTTGTGGCCCCCCCTGGACCCCCGGACCGGCCTGCAGACAGGAGAAGGCCACTGCTGAAAGCTGGACGTTCCCCCCATGGGGGGGCAACCTCTCCATTGTAAAGGATATAGTAGTGTTCGGGGGAAAACATTTAAAACGATATTTCCCATTAACAATCCATCAAGCAGAACTTGAAGAGTAGATGATCACATTCAGACACATATTTTCTTTATTTATGTTGAATATTGAGCACTTTTTCTTCATATCAATCTGAGAGATAAGCTGTATCTGTTTGATTATAGCTTTTTTTGTTCTACACTTATTCCTGGTGTTGAGCTTTTGGCCCTCTCTCCTCACAGGAATACTGAACATCTTATGTTAAAGATTCTGGAGGCTTCCCTGCTCCCACGCTGCTCATCACCTGTTAAATGAGACACTTTCATGGGTTTTGTCGTGCTCCCGTCGTGCCTCGAGCTGTGGCGTGTTTTCAGAAAAGCAGCGGGTTTCATTTATATGTTAAACGAAACAATATACAAAGACAAAGCACTTTCTGTTTCATATGCCGGGCAGGAAGTGACGCTTAATGACTCCAACGCACACAAAACTCCTCTAAATGCCACCGCAGATCAACCTTTCTTCTGATGAGAGCGTTGTTTTCCCACCAATTTCCCCCAACAGTTCCACTGGTTGCTGACCTCGATCGTGCTAATTATTTTATCACCATAAATGTTATTTTATTTCTATATAAAGGCCACAAGATGGCAGCAGTGGGAAGACCAGTTATTTTCTATGAATTCATGAGGCAATTCAAATGCAACTTTACATCATATTTGGTTTTATTGGTCATATTTTTGATAAGGCTTTGCCAATTCAAAGCATTGATTTTTAGAATTTTCTTAGAAATTCACCAATGGAAGTTATCTCCACTGGTGGAGGAAAATAATGCAAGACAACTCCAACTCTCTACAAATCGTCCCAAACGTTCTCAGTTGGGTTAAAGCCTAGTGTCTGCGGTATCAAACAAGGTGTGAAAAACGTAATCCTGACACTGCCATCTTGGAATATAGCCATACCAGTAAGGATGAAAAACTCCTGTGATGCTCCTAACTGTTTAAGTCGGCGTAAAATAACTTGTGGGTCATGTTTAGTCTATAAATAACGGGCACACAACTGTAATTAAAATCCAGTTTAATTAGAGAAGAAAAAACAGTAGATGGGGAATAAAATGAAACAGGGCTTGAAGTCTTCGGGGTGAAAGTGGCTGAAGTTGCGTGGATTTTTCTTTTCTTCCTCCTGATTGGCTCATCTCAGCCAGGCAAGATTTCCAAATGCATTTGCTTGTTTTGTGAAACAATGAGCTGTTCTTCAACCGTTACATTGGTTGGTTCAATTTGTGGGCGTATTCACTCCATCCACCGTAGGGTCAAAAAGATTTTTTACAAATGCTTTGCAAACACCACGAGTTCGCTCTGTTCATGGTCCACATTAAGGGAGGTGGGAAACATCCACCTGACAGCTTTGATTTTCAGATGTTTACCTGTTTTCTGTTCCTGGTTGGTACTGGGTCCACGTCACCACGCAGCTCTGGAGTAAGAGTCCAACATGGGCTTCAATAAAGGCGTCCAAACTCTTTATTTCTTCCCACCCCACAGAGTCAGGTTGGAAGCAAGAAGCTGATGAGGAGTGAGCGGTCAGTTGTAAGATCCAGCTGGTTTTTGGTGTGTTTTTTTTCTGATCTACAGGGAAAAAGAAAAAACACAAAAAACTAAATAAAAAAAACTAAAAAATGGATGAGAGACAAATCCCCAATGAAAATAGTCCCTTGACAGCTGCTGTGTGGTTCAGGCCTGCCATTTTACATCCATTAGCTCCTGCCTCTCTGAAATAATGGGTTCTGTCTGACAGCCAGACATTAAAGCACCACAGAAGTCACGATTGTGAGAATGAAAACCGCATTTCCAGGCTATCACGGCGTCTTAAATTAATGAGCTCTTTATTTTCAAAGACCTCATGAATCCCTTTTGTTTTTCACACTGTGTGCATTACATTTTTTTAGTTAAACAATTCCCTATTCCTGATGGGTACACCGCTTCCACCCGCTGAACGCAGGTGAGGAAGTGTGTGACAGGGTGTTTTTTCTCTCACTTTAAAGAATGAAGTGGGGCTTGATTGGGGCTCCCTGTTCTGACCCAGAGCTTTTACCTTTAGTCTGTTTAACCCCACAGGGCTTAAGCACCTCACTAATTGCTTTTTCTAATAATTCGCAAAAACTCTATATTGTATGTGTCAACTGGGCATATTGATAAAACAACAAATCGATTTTTCTGCAATCAATGCAGAGAACCCTTGGTACATGACCATGCCATTGAACTGAGAACTGAAGTCTTTCTGCAACTTAAAACCACAAAAAATCCCCTGAAGGCTTGTTCCAGAAGCTAAAACACTAGAATAATTTGGTCATTTTCAAAGTAACCTCTACTAATGATAGTCATAGTCATCAAATAGTTAACATCTAATTAGAAAAAATGATCGATTTGTGAAAACACAACCAAAAAAAAAACAACATTTCAAGCTGCTGGATGATATTTTAGAAAAGTCTGTGCTTGACTTTAAATGGATCTGTAGGAAAATACAACACTGACAACGTTATTTGAGTCTCGAGAGGAGAAACGGTTACAGTTACAACCTTTAGGGGGGGAAAAAAGCCATAATGGTGCTTTCACGCCATCGGCCCGGTAGACTCCCATATCTAAGCCCTCCAAACAAAGCATCTGTCTTCTCATTACTCAAGATACATAACACTTCCACATCACCTAACAAAACACTGACTTAATTCTCTGGAGCTCTTGAATACATCAAGTTCTTTGTTTTGGGTTTAAATACTGACGCTATTTCACAACGCACTCACAGTGGATTCCTTTGGCAGACGCCAGTAAAAGAAGTGAATGGTCACGTTCTTATTTACCACTTGAGGCTTGTTTGTTGCCAGTGCTCATAATTACCCGGATTAAAAGTGAACCTCTACAAGCACAGAGCCCCAAACAGCTTTAAGATGAATTTGTTTTATCCCAGTTCAGGAGCTGTTATCTTAAGCACGTAAGATTATTCTAACATTGGCTGAGGCACAGCTAATGCTGAATGATGCTTTTGGAGGAACATGTTGTCTGTCAATCAGCATTTTGTTCACAGCTGGCCTTTCATGATTCCAGCAGCCCACAACACGGCTGTAATTAGAAGAGTGGGTGTCGAACTACCGCCTGGAGTCACCCGACACCCATTTGACACGTTATGAAATGAGGAATATGGCAAAACACGCCCTGAGCTGAGCAAAATGAGTTTTAGACCATTTGGAAAAGAAACTGGTCTGCTAATGCCTCCCTGTTTGCTGCTCAGATTCAGAGGTCTGGTGGGAAGTCTGGGCCCCCACACGGTGCTGTTTGGGACGGGCTGAGCGCGTCAGTGCAGCGTAAATCCCCGTCATCAGGACGTTACCTCTTACTGAGGCTGCCTCTCCACGCCGTTAAGATGGCCTCCCTCGTAGTCCAGCTGACACAGGATCATGTTGTTCTTCAGGAAGAACTTGTCTCCCACGCAAAATCTGCGGAGGGGAAATAAAAATAGGAAACTTTTTTTGGGGGGGGGTTGGTGATGGACCTGCGGTGAATCACGAGGTCCCGGAGGAGCACTGCAGGCATGTTTTCTTCTACCAGACATGAAGTGCTGCGATAATCAGAGGATTAATCTTGCGTGACGCTGTCCTGATTGACTATCCATGTGATATCCACAGCGCTCATCCCCTCAAGCTTTCGCACTGGGTGGATTTCGTCACGTTCTGATTACTAAGCACTTCTAATATGCTCATAATGACCGTTGAGCTCACCGGTACACCTCCCAGATAAGTCAACTGAATTTGATCTCCCCAGCTAATTGCTCCCCTAATCTTACCTCTGGCGACAGAGCTGACAGGCAAAGCAGTCTAAATGGTAGACATTGTCTCTGGCTCTCATCACCATCTCAAAGGCAGGGATCAGCTTACTGCAGGCTGCACAGTTCCCCGTCACCCCGAAAAGCCTGCAGAGGCACAGAAGGTAAGAAGGCAAGTCTGTAATCTGGAGGCACACATGGATACATTTCAACTAGGAGCTGCAGAGGAGGGGGGGAAAAAAACAAAAAAAAAACAGTGAAATAAAGGGAGGACAAGCCTGCAAAGTCACCCACGGGTCTCAGAGCGCATCACAGATGTTGTGCTTGGTCAATTTCCAAATAATCATTTACTGTTTTTGAAGCGGTGGTCTGCACTTTATTTATTGCAATTACTGATGACCGCCACGGCAGAACTCGCATTTAATCACTCATACCAGCAGCAAAAAGGGAAAGACGAAAAAAAAAATCAACCCACCATCAGTAATTCGGACTAAATTAAAAGGATGAGCTTCTCATAATAGCAACAGAGTCAGCTCGTTTCTCTGTGGGGGAGATGAACCATTAGGTTTTTATTTCTCTGCAGAGGAGAAAAGAGCTGGACTGCTCTGCTACCTAGAAGCAGAAGTGACATGTCATCAAAACGCAGATGCCTAAAATGATCAAATGTTTAGTACAACGCCATAAGGCACGCAAACGTACACACAATCCCCAGAGCTGACGGAGAAATAGTATTGACAAACCGCATGGCATGTTAATTCAGACTTCTTTTTATACATATATGACTTCTTACTGACCACTTAGACCACATAACCACATAAGATACTGTTTACTATGTTGTTTTATTAAAATTTGATTCATATCCGCCTTAACCAATTCACAGATGGCAGAAAATGTCTAGTAGTAAGGAAGTTTTCTTCTATGACTAAAAGACAAAGCTCTTTTCATAATTCCAAATGTAAACGCTTCAACTATTTAGATGTGACTTGGATTTCTGCGGAGAGCACCGAAAGGAAGACAAAGTACTTTGGGGGTTGCTTGGAGAAGAATTTATTACACTTTTGTGCAACGGCCTATTTAACTACCTGAGAAGGGACTGAGGTTGTTTTAAACATGCTGCTCTGGCCAGCTGCATGGCCTCACCTCTCATTCACCTCCATCAGAATGAACAAATAGCTCCCTAAGAGCCTGACACACATGAAGATAAGTGGCCGCGGCTGATTTCCATATTCCATTAGAGGCCAAAAAAGAAAAAAGTGGGTTTGGGAGGAAATGTTCTGGAAAAAAAGAAAAAAAAACCTACATCCATGGAATTAGAGAGAGAGAGAGAGAAAGAGAAAAAAGGCACTAAGAATTTGTATCCCACAACCCTGGACAACAAATGGGAGACGTCATCAAACGAGTGACTACTGAGGGAACAAAAGCGAGTCCTAATTAACAGAATGTTCTGATCTAACGAGGCCGAGTCCTTCACAGGCACCTGGTGGGTTTTTTCCTTCTCCTTAACGAGGCTACCAAGCTCAATGCTAATTCTCCACTAATGGTCCAATTAAAAGAAATCACATGGTTTTAATCCTGCTCTTCAAAGGCTTTTTGGTCTGCACCCTTGCAATGATGAGGAAAACAGGAGGCAATCTAGCCAATTTAACTGTCAAAAGGGGTTTTGGTCTCTTAAGTGCAGCGCGGCTAATGAGCGACTTAGCTCCAACGAAATCCAGCTGGATGGTACATGAGACTAACACATGAGCTCAGCAATGTGGCTGAGGAATCAGGAGTTCTCCCGCTGACCTGACACCAGACCGCCTTATTTCAGAGCAGGAAAACTGGGCCGGAACTCTCCCAAGACTCGCTCAGGCCGAGCTCGCTTTGGTCTTTGCGTGCGGCCATCAGCGCTGCCATCAGTGCTATAGCCCGGGTCAATTTGAGGAATAAATCTTACAGATAAGATAGATGAATCATACAGAGAGCAGGGGGAAACGGCTAACTGAGCGCTCCCCCAAAGTGGCAAAATACTAACACTTCCTCGTTTAAACGCAGAAAATTCCCCTTTAACATAACTTTTGTAGTATCTACTAGAATATATATCTCCTCGAAAAGAGGAAAACAATAGACTCATCCAGGGTGGCTGTTTCTGGGATCTGCGCTATGCTAACAAGCTATTACCTCCAGCCACATACTCCATAGGCAAAAGAGGGGTGTTTTCCCCAAATTCTTTACTTTTCTTCTACATTTCGAAGAGGATGTGGCTGTTGTGCAATTACTTCACATTTCTGTTTTGTTTAAAAACAAATAAGATCTTTTTTTTTTTTAAAGAAGCCCATTTGATGTGAGAGTTGATAAAAAAAGGCACAGAAACAAGGCAAAGCCTGGAATTCATCAACCACAACAGCCCTGTTCTGGCTTCACTCTAAATTTCCTTAACAATGACTCAAAACATACTAAAAGGTCAGCAGACTGCCGCTTCTCTCTCTGCACTCATTCCTCCAAACTGTGGAGGCTCTGTGCTGACGGCTGCATTTGCTGTCAGCTTGCTTAAATCCCCCCCCCCCCGTCCTCCCATCCCTAGCTCCTTAATGTTTTGAAGAATGTAATAATGTTGCCGTCTGTTTAAAGAATAACTCAACCAAGGATCCTGGATGTGAAATAAAACAACAAAAGAAACAAATCTTTAGAATTGAAAGTGAAATGTGACAACTGCTGGTAAGAGTGGGGCCCAGAGGTGCTTTAAAGTGATTCCAATTAGAGTCTCAAACCTGTTTGCGCATTGATTATTTGAGGGGGAACACTGTTCTCCGGCCGGTGGCCGCTGCCGATGCATCAGTGCATCTTTCCTCGTTTCTGCCCGCTGGTATCTGGAGGCGGTTTGAGTGTTTACCTGAGGTAGTCCCTGCGGCAGAGGATGAGGTTGGCGCGGGTGTAGAGGGTGGAGCCCACCCGGCCCAGCCGGCAGTCGCAGCAGGCACACTTCAGGCAGTCCTCGTGCCAGAACCGGTCCAGTGCCTGCAGCATGAAGCGGTCCCGGATGCGCCCGTTGCAGCCCGCGCAGCCCCGCGGCTTCTCCCTGGACTGGAGGGACACCAGGGACACACCTGGGGGGACACGGCGCAACAGGTAAACAGGCTGCCTCCCCCAAGAGTCCCTGCTGGTTTTTCAATCAGCACTAAATTCATACAACTTAGGTTTTCTGACATAAAAACAAAGTACTTTTTGTGGCCCATAAGTCCTCATCTGTGGTCTTCTATGCTCCCTTCTTAATAGTAAAAGACTCAAATACCAGCACTCCCTCTAAGGCCACTTTATTGAGTGAACTGTTTTCATTAATCTTTTCAAACTTGATTGATTTCAGTGTCTTGATCCTTTTCAGTCCCATGAGGTAAAACAAGAACATTTTAATTACACACCACATAAATCTATTGAATTATTAATGCTATGCAGTCCAGCACGTTCACACTTAAGTGCTAGGACGCACTGGTTTGGCGTCTTTAACACGGAACAAACAGCAAACAGCTAGATTAGGCGTTCAGTTGTGCGTGCTGAGGCTGAACTACGCATCACATGTCAGTCCGAGGGAATAAATGCACCACACTTACTCTCCTCCTTGTCCAGCACCATCTTTCAAGAATAAAAAACAAAAAAAAACAGAAGAAACAGCTCTGCTTCTTCTCCGGGGTGCAGGATAGCACAGAGACAGCCTCGACGCAGCGCGCAGAGGACCGGTACCGGGCTCAAGTCGCTCAAACTTGGGCTCCGTTCCTCATCGTCCCCCGAGAGATCCAGGCAAAAGCGGCCGCTCTCTGTGTCTCTGTGGGGGGAGAGAGCCCCGGGGCGGATGGGAGCAGCGTCCCCGGGTCTCACCCGGCCCGGCTCGGATCGGGAGCGCCTGTGGGCTCCGTATCTCTGGTGATGTCAGCGCGCAAGTATGCTTTGGATCTGCTCGGGCTGCGGCTGTTCCCCTCAAATGAGCCCTCCTGCACACACCGAGCCTCCACACGGCTCCCCCCTCCTCCCTCCCTCCCTCTCTCCCTCTCTCCCTCTCTGTGTCTCTCTCTCTCTCTCTTTCTCTCTCTCTCTACCCCTCCGCTTTTTCCAATGCAAAATAGAAAAAAAAAATCCCACAGTCAAATGTTTTTTTCTCTTTTTTCAACCCGGCGTGCTAATTATATAAAGTCATTATGCGTGGATCTGATAGGAACCGCCCCCCCCCCCCCCCCCCCCCCTCTTGGAATCAATTATTCAATACACAGTCACACACCGGGACAGCCCGGGCCTGAGGTGTTTTAGAATGAGCTTATTCAACTCCAAGGACACCAATTATCTCCAGGGCGCCCCACAGTCAAAGCCCTGGCTTTTCAGCGCGACAGATGCAGAGCCCCCGTGCGTGCGCGCGCACGCGCGAGGCCGCGGGTTCCTGCGCGCAATGCCAGGTGTTCGTCCATTATTTTTCTCGTAATGTGATAATAGATTGGAGGTGGGAGAGACTATACTGTATAACAGCGCTAAAAGATCCAATAAAAGTCTCGCGCCAGAAAGCAATTATGGGTTTCCTTACTTATAGAAATGCTATAACAATACAGGAGATTAAACCATCACACTCACGTGCCATGATGGTAGGATGATTAAATTAATAAGAGATTACTATTTAGATTACTGCATTATTACATTGGTGGGATTATTGCAGGAATAGTTCAGGTGAATTCACTAAGTAGGTCATCAGGGAGAGCCTTGAATACCATTAAATAGTAGCCCTGGAAACTATAGAAAGGCTGGAAATACACTCTAACCCAAAGTCTGCTCCACTGCGGACATGTAGGACTATGATTATTATAGGACACCATAGAAAATGACGGGCAGAGGGAATTCTTTCTTTAGTTTTTTTGGCAGACTCTGGGTTGTTCACAGTAACCAAATGTTGAGCGTGTTTGTCCACCGCTAGTAAAAAATAAATACAAAAACATCATCTGCAAGCTGCTAAACGTACCTACAAGAAATACGATTTGTATACCTAAATGTTATCCATTTTCCCAAAGACAGAGGCGTCAGAATTCAGCCAATTAAAGAAACAAATACACAGGAAAAGAAGAAGAATTCCTCACTGTGGTGATGTGCATCAAAATGTTCCACCTACTTTGGACTAAACTTGTGGGGGGGCACGCTCAGAAAGCTCTGAGCAGCATCCTGGTTGACTGGATGGGGTCTGTACATGCCTGTACAGACCCTGGAATGATTTCTGCTCCCGTCCAGGCACACCCCCCGATCAGCCCTCACATATCGATCACCTGCCTGTCCTCCTCCAGGACCTCAGCCAGAGATCTTCTGGGCCCTGTGGGTCGTGGGGAGGGGTCACTTGTCTTGGGCTCACTTCCCACGGAGGCCATCAGCTCCCATCAGGCTGCTGGTATCTGGAGAGTATGGAGGTCAGGGGGACAGCTCAGGCTCATTGACATGCTTTTTAGGCTTTGCTAAGCTGTTTTTGTGCAGAGTTTTCCTTCCTTACATGTTATGGAGGAGAATTCAGATGTCACACTGAGAGATAATGGGAACTAGCTTATTTGGGGACCATGAACAACGTTTGAAATCCGAAATGGTGAACTATATTTAGTTTGAATCAATTTTAATTAAACATAAAGCTGGTTCTTTAAGTGTGAACCTTTAATCCAAGTCCCCTTTAAGATTAAAGGAACCAATCTTCCTTTAGAAAACCTCTAAATGTTCTCTAAAAGCTCCATACTCTAGCCGTAGCAAGGAATCTTCCTCACCATAGGAGTCACTCAAAACAATTAGATTAAATTAAGTGGCTTTTTAATACATCATAAATGGTTGGGCTTACCGCCAGTTCTTTATAGCTATTGTGTTTGACCTATTTTTGATAATGAAACAATATAAAAGGGAGTGAATAAAGGCATAAATGAAGAAAGGATGGAAGGAAAAGAAGGCTTCAACCTACCGCCAAGTTATTACAGGAATTATGCATAAATTCAAACCAAATCAAAGTTACACAGTTAGATTATATTGTAAAGAGGTAATACTGTTATTGTAATTTCCATTAAAGTTACATATTTATTCATTAAAATACTATAACCACTAATGTCCTTGTTTTGAGAGAACCTTATATGAATATTATAGATGGAATCTGAATACAGCCTTGGAATCCATGTCCCAGATCTATTCCAACTAACGGTAATAGAAATACCACAGGGCATCGCAAGGGCATTACTAAGTTAATATTGAATCCCACAGACACATTATTAGTTCCTGCTGATAGATTATTGGGACATTACAATGAATTTCAGTGGGTTTTCAAGGCTAGTAATCACCCTGATCCATAAACAACACAGCAGCCCGCTTTCCTAATAGATCACCCAGCCCTAAATCTTCCTCATTAGATGCTGTGGCATAAACAACTGTTCTAACATGGCCCCTGGATCAGGTCACACTAATTAACCAGCACCATCGACCAACTATTCCTCATTATCCGCCCTCTCATCCGATCACATATAGGCCATCAAGACAGCTAACGATCAACAGACTAATTAATCAGTTGATGAGGTGCAAGTGAAGCGCTGGCTTTCCTCTTCATTTGGGAGACGCATGGGAGCTAATTAGTTCAATTATTAATGCATCTAATTAAATAGTTTGGGTGGTTAATCACGGCTGCAGTGATAAATGGAGGGCCACTGCGTTAGCCCCTTTTTGTCCCCCGGGTTGTCTCCAGTGCAGCGGCCGGCCCGGCCCAACATCACAAACCCTTCTCAGGCCCAGATCCCATTAGTGTAATTGCGCTAAAAGCGGTGTGCGGATGACAGTGAAGGTGAGCTGCGGTTAGGGCTCTAATTAGCAGCCGGAGGAAATAGGAAGCCTCTCCGGCCATCTGCTGCAGCCCGCCGCCACGTCTTCTGTGTGAAAAGGGCAGATACAAATTTAGGCCTGTTTTGTTGAAGGGCTGATATAATGCCGTTAGAGGCTGCTTCACTCACAGCACATTTTGTACAGAAATGGCTGGTTTTAAGGGAGGTTACACCAGAGGAGACACAGATAGGTTTCCATTTAACCGTAATCTGCTGTTTCATATCCGATGCTCAGGAGCCTAGTTTATATAGTAATGATGTATGAGTTTAATTCCTGTTGATCTCCGCTTCACAATAGGTAAGAGTATTTCATCTGAATATACAATAAAAACCTAGAAAAACAACATAGTTACACATAGCCACTATGTGTATTTCAGGAGAGAGCATCTATACCATCATCTGGACTTTTTTATTTTTATCCAATAATCACAAATTCATTCTGGGAAACATGGAGTTAGGTAAAAGGTCACGCTGAAAGCACATGTCAAAATCAAAAGAAATCTGAGTGGTGGAAAGGTCAGTGGTCACAGAAATAAATAAGCCTGGGGAGGATTGTAAAGCCACTTCTTAAGGTATGTGATCCCTTACATTCACAACCCAAGTTGTTCTGTACAAATGGAGAAAAACTTAGCCTTGAGATGTTTGACAGGGTAGCTTTGTGCAAAAGACGCTGCACAGTGGGAAAGCAGGGGGGAGTTGTTTGACCAGTCAAATACATCAACTGAAAGAGATCGAATTAGTAAACAGTCTTTCATGAATAAACCCGGAAAACAGTTGATTCTGATTTTCAAATCAATGATGTGCCATTTAAGTTTGAAGCGCTGGATCAAATACGGGTTGGACACCTGGCTTTTTTATAACATGAGCGATGCTATGATCAGATTCCATTAGAACTTCTCGCCTCTCTGGATGGATTGACCAGTGCTGGCCACTTAGCTTTGGTCTCCCTCTAAATCTTTTCCTATCAACTGCAGATAGACAAATGTCCAATCCTCCAGAGTTAAATCCATCCACCAGCCACTGATTTCGGAGTCTCGCTCAATTGTATTGAGTGGGTGCACTATTGTAGCATTTTCTGTTTGCTGGTACAAATGTCTGCATTGCATCAGTTGATTTATGGAAATGGACCCCAAACTATCGCCCTGTCAGCGCTCATGAATTTGGTGATCAATGATCACTGAATGGAATAAAGAAGAACAACACTGAGGCCTGTTTGGTAAGATTTGAGCACAAAGGACTATTTGGAGCCAATTTTTAAAAAACGTTCATGTTTTCCCTAAAATGGATCCTTTTCCAATGTCTTGCTTGTTGGAAATTGTGTCTTTGCTTTGTATCCTTTCTTATATTAAAATCACTGAATCGTAGACCAAAATATTTAATATCCACCCATTCATCCATCCATCCATCCATCCATTCATCCATTCATCCATCCATCCATCCATCCATCAATCCATTCATCCATTCATCCATCCATCCATCCATGCAACACAGGCAAGATAATGTAAAAACAACATGTTGCTTTTTAATGCATTGTGATTTTTCTTTCACAAGATAAGCCTAGTTTACTATTTTAAATGTACCAAAAATTTAAGGCTTAATGGCTGGCTTGTGGAGCTATCTAAAACAATGTTGATTCCTGGTTATGTTTCCTGCTTGTTGGTTTTTCCAACACCTTTTCTTTTTCTAAGCTACATGATGTGCCCATTTTCGCTTTTAGCCCATTTCATCCATTTTCTTTTAGTTTTGATAGTTATTGATCAGCCTTTTAACCACGTATTAGCGGCAAAGTATCTTTTACCTTGTTTCAGTGTGTCAGCAGCAAGTCAGAGAAATTAAACGTACCTTGGAATAATATCTGATGATTATCATAAATGATTTCCAGTTACCTGTGCAGCTTTGGTGGCCTTTCAGTCTTCCTACTGGCTCCTACTGCATTTCAGAATTTATTGAGACATTTCGTCTCCTATCGTTGACCCCCCGTCCACTCAGGTCCCTGCATACATTGCTGACATCTCAGATTGGTCAGCTGCTCAAAGACTCATAGTGATTCCACAAGGGGGCAAAGGGCTTTTAAAGCAGTGCCCCCAAACTGGACAATGCTGTTGAATCTCCTAAAATGCAGCAAGGCCAAGGGTTTGGTTTTCCGGCTTACTGTTTTTGTATTGTTTGCTTTATGGTGCGTCATGTGTGCTTTTATCTCTCCTCTTATCTGCCGCTCTGTCTCATCTCTCATCGCCCGTGCTTTTTTGGTACTTCATTTGCCTATTAGGAAGCACTTTGTGGCTTTTAACACCTGAAAAGTGCTATATAAATAAACTTAACTTCCTGAGTTGCTTGCTTACTCACTCCACGTTTGTCTTTATACCAAAGCAGCGGAGACCCACTTAGGCAGCAAAACGTCACACAATCTGTTTGCAAAGCCTCAATGCTAACTTTATTCAGGCGTCAAGCTGGAGGACGAAACAGTCCATTCACCTGTCAATCTATGACTAAAACGGGTTTAGAAATAAACTAGTTTGAGTATTGGATTGAATCACAGTGTAAAAAAAAGTGTTGTGTTGCATTTTAATGTTGGTGGTCTGCCACCAACTTTAACATCATATTAATATTTATAGAAGAATATTAATCATTAGCACTGAATACTATATGCATGTGTGTGATCATCTATTTATTTAACAGATTAATATCACTGTGGTACACGTTTATAAAGATATTTTTCTAAGGTCATATACGTCACGTTCATAGAATTTTTACTCAACGTTTCACGAACAACAGCCGGAGGGCTGAGAAAGCTAAGAAAGCCTCGCTGCAATATCAAATGTTGCAGCAGATTCAAATTATTTGCTGAGTTTTGGCAGCATTGGTGCATACCAGCATCTCAGGAAAATTGCACAGACAGCAGGACGTCCCATTGAGTGTAACAGGAGACAGAAGGACACTGAGCAGACGGCGGCTTTTTCAGATAACACGTGAAACAGATTACACCACTCCTTACAGATGATCGTTGGGGGCTTGCGAAACCAAAAATAGCTAAATATATAACGACAAATTTCTTCACTCTAAACTTTCCATACGTTAAAACAGAATCCTCCAGCCAATTATCTCTGGCAAAAAAAAGACTTCTTTATCGAATAAACCGTTTCCAACTTTTTAAACAAAGTCAGCTAGCATTTGAAAATCCACCTTTAAGTGCTACTTTAATCTTTCAGGTGAGAAGTCAGAGAAGTGGCTGGCGATGTTCTGGGCAAATGATGTTCGGTTCCTGTATTAAGATGGATCCATTTCTGTGGAGGTTGGGGTCTCTGGAAGCCAGCCAATCCCCTGTCAGTCTGACTAAGCTGCTGAGTTTCAGATTGGAGTGGGGATGTGCTCACCAGCTGTGAGATTAAGGGAGACTGATCGATGGCCTTTGTGATTGGCTCTCGGGGTGTCCCAGCAGCATCCAATCCCCTTGGTTCGGACGGTTGTCCTTGGCCAAGCCAAAAGCAATTCTTCCTCCACACAGGGGCCAAATAAGATCGCTGACCTGAAGCTAAGAGGCCTCCGTCTCCGTCCCTCTTTCTCTGGATGAAATGATACGGACAGAGGAAAGGACAATGGAAAGAAACAGAATCCCCCATTTGTTTTCCATTAGAGCAGCCTCTCGTTCCGGCACACATATTCACAATTTGTCTTTTTTCACTTATGGGGCGGGTCCCTGACATGTCTGTGATTAAGCCTTAATGCCCGCTGTGTGTCACGCACTGCACCCTCCAGATATTAGCTGTCACTCATACTCAGTGGGATGCTCTCTGATGTGTTTGTACTCAGATTTGCTCTGTAGGTGTGGCTCGGTTGTTATGGCACACTGCTGTAGTTTGCTGTCGGAGATGTAAGGCACACAACCTCCTGGAAAGCAAGGGATCTTTGATTTTTTTTTAAAAAAGAAAAGACAAATTGCAAGTAAATATGAGCGGAAGTGGACGGGAAACTTATAAACTACTCACAGAATGAGCTCGAGGTGGAGCTGAGTGATATTAGATGAGGGGAAAACGTTTGCCACATTCACTGATTCCAAATTAGAGTGGAAAAGATTCCTGCAGAGACTCGGCTTTCATTTACCACCTGTGCTGAGCTGCGATGATCGGGATGATGATGAAAATTGGGGGCCTGTAGTGCATCCTGGCTGCTCTTCTCCAGACGTTCACTGCTGAGATGTGAGAAAAAAGAGTGCTGAGCGATCAGGGGAGATGGTTTAATCAAAAAACCCTTTTCAGTCAGCAGATACGTTTTGAACCTCCTTTGACTAAAGCTCATCCAGAGGATTCAGCGGGGAAATTCTGCAAGACATCAAACTCTAAACAGTAACTTTCTGTTTACCTACATCCTAATTAAGTCCAAATGGCAGGCTGCAAGTACAGAAAAAGAAGCTGGTGATCTTTCTTCATCGCTGTTCTGGCTCCTCCTAACGGACTCATTTAAACATTGTATCACTCGCACAAATAGCCCTGCAAGGCCAGTGTCCTGCACATACAGAGTAAGAGTCGAGCACTTCCTCCAGTTGTCTGCCTTTTCATTCCTGCCCTCCTTCCCTCACTCCACTTAGAAATCTAGAAAAAGTCTTGGAGGAGCAGTTTTCTAAATTCCTGCATCTGAATCTGTTACAAACGCTCGCTAAATTCACATGTCAACAGGTTTTCTTTACTAAACATTTTCTGTTCTTGTCTCATCTCATCTTTAATCTTTTACATACTCATATTTCCTTATTGAATTTATTCAAGCATGTATGCTTTTCCAGCAGAACCTTCAATTAAAAGTTATAAAGAAATACTATTACAGCAGAAAAAAAGTCTGAAAAAAAGACTTATATCCTTCTGTAATAACTTTTAATCATTTGGTGTTTTGTACGTCTTTTAAATGAAGATGATTTTGCTTTGCATCACTTTGGAGTTAGATTCCTTTGTGACATACATGAGGCATTTGTGGTCATACGTTTTTGTTTTTACTTTACAGCGGTGTCCCTTTATTCTGAGTTTTTTATCTTCCTTTCTGTTCAACTTTGCCTTGAACCCAATGTTTCGTTCAATTTGACTTTTAAATCAGAAATGCTAACAGTCCATTCAGAAGAGCTCTGACACAGAGATGTCCTGGGCCAGTCCGTGCCTGTCCAGTCCCATTATCAGAAATCACACTCAAATTCCTCGCATGCCAAAATATAACGGGCCAAAATATCTGTTTCTGATTTAGATGTTTTAGATATTTTGGCTCCATTCCATCAGAAGCCATTAGACTGAGGCGTTTTGCAGCAGAGGGAGACGTGCTTTTGGTAGAATGCATCCATCACTGATGTATCGTGCTTTCCCTACTGGAACAATTCAGAACGGCTGCTTGGGAAAGGAAAACTGAAATGGTTGAATGTGCAATTTGTCCAGCAACATGAGCAGGAAACAATCAAACAAGAGAAAAACCAAAACATTCAGCTTGGATTGAATTACCTGTGATGCCATCTAGTGGAGCTCTTTCAGAATGCTGTTCTGTTTTAGGAAAAAATCAATGCGTTAATGGACAAATCATGTCCTTGCCCTCGTCTGGCTCTTTTTAATCAAATGCACAGGAAGCATCTCTTTTTCTAAGGGGTTTACAGAAATGTTTCCCTTATAGTCTTCAAATGAAACTTAAGGCCATACTATTTGTATAGAAGACCTAAAACAACCACCTCATTATGAGCTGTGTGAGTTTAATTTCCTCTAGAACAGCCAATGTTTTCAAAGTATTCACAACAGTAACATTCATCCACAGGATGCTGCATATATGGACTTTTGAGTCAAGAGGTGCAAAACATTCTTTCTGTACTGTTTCACAGTGACATAACTGGTTCAGAGAAGAAAAACAGCAAAGCAATGCATGAGTTCATGTCCTTAACTGGTATGTGCTAGCGGTGCTTTCAAGTGGTCTTGGTTCACATTTAAGATATAGTTTTTATTTTTAACCAATCACATTTTGTAATGAATACAATACATGCGCAATACACAAAGTAGAATATACTACAAAACCTGAAAAAAAGTTGTTACAAGATTATATAATCCACATTATTACACAATAACATCTTCCATGCTAAACTTAAATGTAATAAAAAGTCAATAAAGGCTCTGAATACAAAAAAGTGAGGCTAAAATAAAGGTTTAGAATGACTTCATTAGGTCAGAAAATGCAAAACTGTCAAATTGTCAAATTGACAAAGGTTAAGGAGTGTACAGAAGCAGGGGCTCTAAAAGTGAGAGGGGAATTACACAAAAGTCAGCCCATAGAGTTCAAAAGGAAAGCTCATTAAATGACTCAAAACTAAAACTTAACGGCAGGACAGAAAAACAATGCTGGAAGGGTCAAATCCAGATGACACCATGAGGAAAGGTTTCACATTTTCACAACACAGTGTCGATCCGCACTATGAATCTCTTTAACAAGGTTAAAGAGACTCATACCAACGTGTATAATCTGCATGGTTCTGGTTATGATTCTGCTGCATTAAAAGCGAGTGCTCTCAAACAAGTTTAACAACCAGCCAGACAAACAATTTATCTGAAGCCCTGAGAGGAAAAAAACTAAATAAAAACAATGTTTTGTAAATCCTTTTGGCAAAAATGTATCAAAAACTGTGAAAATAAAGAGTATTCTCTCATTTTGTTTTCAATTTGGAAAGGAAGACACTCAGAAGGACACTAAAGAAAATTGTAAAAAAGGTACCACTGATTTATGTTTCATTTGCCCCACATTCTGATCAGCTTTACTCTTCACAGGTGTGGCTAAAAATAAGTACAATCTGAGTTGATAGTTTTGTCCGTTGCACTAATTTTATTGCAAGAAAGAACCAATGAAAAAAAATGTGTAAAACACTATGACATCAGAGGAGAAGGATAACTTTGAAAACTTTTTGTTAACCTATTTATTGAGTCAAGTCATCTGCAGCATTTCCCAGCTACCAGCAGCAGTAGAAATGGGGTACTGCCACTTTAAGGCTACCAATTTTAGCTGCTATATACAAGCGCGTTCTACCTGTCTGGCGTACGCTGCGTCATTACGTAAACGTCCTTCTTTTTTGCCGGCTAAACGGTACGGCTGTATTTCTATGACTGAACCGCTTAAACGATAGCGCTGTAATGAACTGCTTGTATTCTTCGAATGGCCCCAGCGGCCTGTTATCCAGCTGGGATTCCGCTTTAGTTTGTCTGTGGGAAAGAGGTCCACCTGTTCCTGATTGAGCCGCGGTGTTAGCGCTGCTGATTGGCTGGATCCAGCGCACGTGAGCCCACATCGACGAGCTGTTTTGTTTGTTTGTTTGTTTATTTATGTCTTTTTTTCTTTTTCTTTTTTAGTTTTTTCAGGAATTAAGGCTTCGTGTGGCAGTGGTTATCCTTGGTGACGGATTCTTTTTTATTTTATTTTTTATTTTAATTTTTTTGTTTGGGGCTCCTCTTTAGTTTGTTTTGGGTGATCCTGTTTCCTAACTGGATTTGGTCTTAACGACTTCCTCCCCACACGGGTAAGCCTAATTTTCCCCCTCTTATTTAAAAAAATGTTTACATTTTATACACTTGTTTAGTCTTTTTAATCTGTTTATGTTGCAGAATATTACAGATAGAGAAACATTTTAAATGTGCCGTCCAATAAACATGGTAAACGTTTATTCTGAAGTTTGTCTCCTTTCCGGCAGAACGAACTGGTGTCCTTCATTTTATTTTTATTGGATCATAATTCAAGGTGGCGTTGTTGGCTCCTCATTATTCGCTATATTTATAATTTATCAGAGAAAATCCGTCCCTAGCTTGCCACAAACTAATGCTTCCAAATACCCTTTAGCTTCATCCTCTAGGAGGGTTAGGGTTATCCCAGCCAATCCCTGCTGACTGTTGGACAGAAATGGGACATAACTCTGGGATAATTACAAGTTTTCCAAAAGAATTGCATAAAAATACACATATTTTCTCCCTGTCACATAAATGTATTTTTTTTCTTTTTGTATTAGATTCAAATTAAGCCCTTTTTATAGACTTGAATCAGATTGCTTTCTTTCTGGCCAGCAGTGAAAAACATATGCAACTTCAGTAATGAGTCTGGGGCCATGCAAAAGAAATATTTGATTCAAGAGAGGGTCAGATGTGAACAATTTTCTGTCACTGAGCCATCAACGGCTAATAGTAAGCCATGTATGTGGTCATGCTGTTATCATATCAAATGGTCTAACTGGTGACAGACAGACTGTGTACAGCTAATCAGAGCTCCCGGGGCTGTTTCAGGTTTTATGTCCGGTGAACACGGCCGCATAAACCATTTTCGCCTTAGCCGGGTGTGCTGCAGGGGCTTGACTTCCAATCAAGTTAAGTGTTACGGGCTGGCACTGTTTGCTTTCAAATCTGCTTTTGTTAATGAATCGCTGCGTGTAGTCCATTACTGTGATTGTTTCAGGTAATATTTATGCGAGTTATGACTGATTCACAGCGGAAAGAAGCAAATAATAGAACCCACTCTCCGAATAAGGCATGGAATTTTCCTTTTTCTCTCTCTCATAGACATTTTCTGGAACATGCAGCAAATGACTAACAACTTTATGAAACGTTGTGGGCTTAAATCGGAAAGTTTTATAGCATAATTGTCTAATATTCGTTTGATACAAGTCTTAACATAAATTTTATGAAGCAAAATATGTCTTTTAATGCCTCTTATCCTGTGTATTAATGCACTAGCCTGCTTTGCTTTGACCAGCAACATAATTAGAACTGTTTAACTACATGAAAAAGGTCCAAGCATAAAGTCAAGCAACAGAACAAAGAAAAAATCTTGGAAAAGGTTACATACTTAGTCGAGAGCCTTGATAGACAGTACTGAATGCAACAGCTGTAAAACGTAAAATATTCAGAATATACCACTTTAAAGACGATGGCTAAGAAGAAACTGTGTCACTGATTACTTTCCACAGACATTCCCCATTTAAATTGAGTCTCAAGCCGGTCCAACCACTTCTCATCTCCAAGCACAAACAGGATTCACACAGATGATTTTTAGGTGTCTTCTCTCATTGAGCCAAACTGAGTTCTAAGAAAGACACTGTCTTAGGCAGACTATTTTGATAATTTAAACCAATTTAAAATGACCTTTTTCAGGCAGGTGTATCGGTGTCCGACCTGTTATCTATCCACTCTCTTAAGTGAATCCTCCAAAACTCACATGAATCCTAGTGTCAGAGTTAAAAAAAGAAAGAAATCCGAAACATATTTGATCGCAGATAAGTTTGGTAACAGTTTCTGAATTGCATCTCGTGGCTTTTACGTCGCCTTCTCGAGAAACCTGCGTGTCCACAAACAAAGGGGCATCGTTTGGATTAAAGTGGGTACAGTAGGCCCCTGAGCAGGTGCATGTATGTACATGAAGAGCTAATAGAGAGGATGCACAGGAGCGATCCCAGCCTGCTGTCCGAACATCCATGATACTGACCGCATTAGCAAAGCGTCAGTGTCTGTATCTGTATCTCCTCCTTTGTGATTAACCGTTTCCCTTTAGTATGGATTCGTACCAAAAAGCAATATCCCAGCACATCCGGCCCCCCGCGTCACACGGATTTCCTCCTCTTGCCGAACACGTTGTTGATGAGTTTGGCCATGGACTTGGAGCCGCTGTAGCGTCTGCGGTCGGCGCGGTACTTCAGGTGCTCCATCACCTGCCGGATGAGCTGCGTGAACAGGTTGGAGATGTCCTGGTGGCTCTCGGCCGCCGACACCTCCTGGAAGTGGCAGCGGCTCTCCTGGGCCAGGCAGCGGCCCTCGTCCTCACGCACCTGCCGGGCGTGGCACAGGTCCTGCTTATTACCCACCAGGCACACGGGGACGTCCGTCTCCCTGGAACAAGCGAGACGCGTTAGCTGCTTTGAAATATTTTTCATTATGAGAGAAAAACATGCTGATTGGTTCTGCGTCCATATAGGACTAAACCCAGAACCATCCAGTACAGACCAGTCCAGCCTTGTCTGCTTTAAAAAAAAAACTAGTCTGGGTCTCCTTATCTCCACAATGAGTCAGCGATCTGGGATTTACTCATAAATGCTACTCTCCACACCTCTTCAGCACTTTACCAGAACCCCTTATCAAAGGCCAGAAGGCCTAACATACATGGCTGGCCCCTTTCCGCACATCAGATTCTACAGACGCCTCCTAAGACGCCATCATGATTCCCTGATGAGTGCAGCGTGCTTTAAGGACTCCCAGCATTCCTCAGACTCAGTCCTGCAGGAGCATCTCAGTGCAGCCTCAGTGGAACCAGGCAGGTTTTGTTTCGCACCGTCTCCGGGTGGCGTTTGGAGAGGTTTAAACAATCAACTGGTATCAGTTGAAAGGGATCGAAAAGGAAACAAAATCCAGTTTTACAAACCAGATTTGGGAAAAGCAAACCCAACTAGAAATGTTACAATTTAAAAAATTGGTTTGGTGAAAAGTAGCTTTGCTGCTGCTGCTGATTTCGTCTTTTCTGCAATGTGTTTTCTGAAACCATTTTATTTCTTGTTTTTATCACTTTGAGCTATGACATGCTTTTAGGTTCAGTGAAAGGTGCTTTTCTTTTCAGCATTCTTCTTCCTCTTATTATTATTATTGTTATTATTACTGCAGTATTTTTGTGGTTTATGTCTAGTATTTCTGAAATGTATCAACATGATATGTTTTGTTAAATTCCTTTTTTTTTCTCATAAAGATGGTTATATTAGTTCATTGTCATTTTACTGCTTCTCATGTCTTCATGGTAGACAAACCGTAAGGGATCTTTTCATAATTACTGGATGATTTAAAAAAGCCACTAAAGTTTAAGATGGATCTTTTTGTTTCCACTGACATCAACATCTCATATAGTTTATTAAATGATCCTTTATGCTTTACAATGAATATCTATTTTATTTGATCATTTTAGGGCAATTGCAAGAAGTCCTTTTATCGTAGAGTTAATATGCCTCTTCAGTGTTGGAACACCTCGAACTATGGACAGCTTTGTTTGGGATCATCCACAGTTCTTCACATGGAAACCAAAGTGTGCTGCCTCTTACCCTTTGCAGTTGTCCATGCGGGCCTCTCGGATCTGCCGCAGAATGCTTTTGGCGTTGATGAAGGAGGTGCGGTCGCTGATGTTGTACACCACCACAAATCCGTCTGCCCAGTCCACCGGCTCCTCCATGATGCACCTCACCTCTGAGCCCTGAAGACAAGCTCACTTTGGAATCACATTGATCAAATTTCCTTCAGGTTCCTCTTTTACGGGTTCAATAGACTGCCTTTACGATCAGAGGAATTAGGTGAGTTTACTTGTACAATGAATTGAGTTTAATATCCAAAAACTACTTGCATTCAACTTAAACCTCCCTCTGTTATGTTCTCAGTTCATTTTAACTGTACTAACAGCAGTTATAACGACTTAGTAACAGTTAAATGAAATGAACACAGATATACAACAATACATGGACTATCAGGCTATGCCACTATCTGTCTAAAAAGAGAACAACAACAAGTGCTGGGAAGATGGAAAAAAGCACACACCAGAGTTTTGCTGCTGATCACATGATTTTCAGTGATTCTAAGTAGATTTTTGGGTAGCTTCAGATGTGTTTACACAGTGCCAAGGAGTAAAGGAAAGACCAATAGAGCTACATCTGAGACCGTGCAGGTTACATTTGCCCCGGGACCCTTTACAGTCAGTGAGTCCACTTTGAACTCATCTATGTACCAAATCAATGTCCTCGAGTCAAATTTAAAGTTGTCTGTTCGAGAGTTGAGGTTTAATGGGCCATGCTATGGTTGGATTTTAAGAGAGCTGTCCAAGGACAATAGCCTGAGTATGTCAGCGGTCTGGAGGTGTTTTCTATAGAAGGCCATGCAAAAAGAATCATAAAGTCAAACAGAAAAAACATCTGGTTCAAGTCATCATTACTAAAGGGGGGGGTTGACCTCAATTTATGTCATATAAAAAGAAATTTCATCATCTAACAAGTTTGCTTCATCTGTGGTTATATGAACTTAAACTTTTATGACCTTTTGAGACCCTGATTATTTTTATAAAGTCTTCATACATACATATATTCAAAACAGGGTTCATTTTCTGTTTCATATTTACAACTCAAGACTCAAATCAAGATGAATTTGCAACATCCTTCTTGACCACGAGTGGAAAACAAATTGACTCTGGGTGTGTTTTCTGGCATATTAAGAGAAAACTGGGGCTTTGACTACACCCAAAGCAAGCAGGGCTGGACATGGGCCGAACATGGCTGCGCACTGCAAACACGGCTTTAAACGCGCTCGCTTTATTGACTCCAGAGTTTCATTGTGCTCTCCGGGTCAGAAGGGCAGGACATGAATCCATTTGTTCCTCACCAGAGAGCGGCGACAGGGTGCGTCTAAAAGAAAGACAGGGACTGGTTTTGGCCCTGCCGAGCCCCGGGGCATTCCAGTAAAAACCCTGAGCCTAAGGTAACAGGCCTCTCAGGTCTTTTGTTTAGCTGAAAGAGGAGTTGGCGGTTTATGTGGCTCTTTTCTTCAAAGAAACAGCCGTCGTCACACGTCTCCTCAGGATACTCTCGTAAAGCCCGTGGATTCCGTGAATAAGTGCAGCAGAGAATGAACCCATGCAGGTGGATGTGTGACCACAGCTCACTAAAGGTCAAGGACAGCCTCGCCCGCGGCCTGAAGGCCAGCCAGGGTTTCACAACTCTGACACTCAGCTCTTTTTTAGTTCTAAACACTTTGAGATAACGATGAAATAATAAGTGGAATGACTGTCTGTTATGTTCTGAGTCTTTTCCACAGTCACTAATCGGTTCAGTCAAGATGTCTGCATGTGTGCTTTTGGTTCTATTCTCACATGAAAATATTCCCTGCTTCTGATCACAGGCTGTGTGGAACAAAATGCATTTGGAGTAGATTTACAGTCATGGAACAAGGGAAAGGGGGGGTGGGGGGAGAATTCAAAACAGGAACCCCTCCTGCAGCTGCCCCATTTTTTTTTTAATATACTTCTGTTGGTTCTGACAACAGTTTCTTTTTTATTAGCCCCACTGGGTGAGATATACTGTACCTGAGAGCAGGGGTCGAAAACTTCCAGATTCAGCTGCCTGCCGTCGATGGACAGCCTTTTGTTGTAAAGCGAATCTGGGATTGAGATTAAAAACACAAAATGAATAATGAATCGATTTGTCACAATCATTGTATTTGCATATACAATGTGTGTTACATTGCATTAGCTTATCGTCTTGAATTTTGGGTCAAATTTTACTAATATTTCGGAATTGAAATTGCGCCTCAGTTGATTTTGAGTTACATGTTTTTTCTTTATGAACCAAATGTTAATAATATCTATCTTAATGATGTAAACAGCCAACCAGACACAATCATCTTTATGGTTGGTAAATGTTTAACACAAAGAACTTGAAGAAATCCCAATGAGCTGGCTAATCGGTGCCTGTTGAGCTGCATGAACTCTTTTCTCCTCTGTCCTGACCCTTTTTGCCCCCCCGGGAAGACTTACTGGCGTTGGAGGCGTACTCCCCGATGAAGCGCCTGGTCAGGAACCGGACCAGGACAGCTGAGGGAAACAGAAGCAATGGAAAAGCAGCAGAATCATCAATCATGGCATCATTACACTCTCATTCCTCACAGGTGGCAGCAGTGGGGCGGGGGGGGGACTAAAAAATAATAAAACAGATCCTCATCCACCACCGCCGCAGATACAACACATTACCAACACTATTCAGAGCCGGAGTGGTGAAACTTTAGCCTCACATGAAAGAGGCCGGACGGCTCTGCTGGAAGGACTGTGTGCAGATTTGGCAAGCTGAATGTTATAAGCCCCCCCGCCTCCCCTTTTTCATTCTGAGTCACATATAAAAACGAACTGACTGGGCTCGGTAATCAGTCTCAATTATGAGCTGAAGTTTCAGCTCCTGAGCTTACGGTGGGCCTCTACAGGGGCTGAATGAGATTAAACTCACAAATATGGATACTGTACGTATATGAGGGTGCTCGTTCATGCGTTCGGGACAAGACAAAAGACTTTCAGTAGCACTTCATCTCAACGGGAATTCGTCCGGCACCGTCTCCCACACAAAGGCCGAAGCGATCAAAGAGCAAAACCACAAAACATGCTCTGAAAGCAGCAAGCAGAGCAGAAATCACATGAAATGGACGCAAGCATGCACAAATGGCCTCTGGGGGCCACAGGATCCGCAGAAGATCAGAGAGGATAAAGACATCCCATTGTTTTATGAAACAGGAATACAGTAAAGCCAGTCTTAAACATATGCAACAAGAATTTTAAGTGGCATCCGGAGGCCTATAACTCCTGCTGCCCTGGCTTAGGCAGCGTTATTCACAACAGGAAAATGACTACTCCCAATGCCTCTGACCCAAGAAACACAACTCAAATCTATCTATCTATCTATCTATCTATCTATCTATCTATCTATCTATC